CGGCTTCGCTCGGGTCTCAAAAGGATAAAAAGTAACCTATGTGACATATTACAAATACACACAGCGCCATCTATACCCATAATTTCGTTTTCCTTTGAGAATATCAAATTTTTCCGGGATAAAAAGTACCCTATTATTTAATTCAGACTTCTAACTTCACGTCTGCAAAAATTCAAAGCATTCGGTTTAGTACTTACGGTGCGAAAGTGGAACAAACAAACAAACAAACACACTTTCCGATTTATAATATTATATTAAGGAGAAGTAAAATGACTTAAACCGTTCCATGCTTATCTGGATAAAGTTAGATTAACTGGCAAATGCCGTGTTCATGACTAATTTAATATTTACTGTTAGTTAAAACGCACGCGACCATTTGTATTATGTATGTATGACGTCACAGCGTGTATCTGTTTTCGAAGTTACGTTTTTTTGACGTAACATTTCCATAAAATTGGGATGATGACAGGATATGAAAATTAAAAATCTAATTAGTCCGTCAGTTAGGTAATTAAAAAATATTAGACACGTATTTTTTTATTTTGTGGTATAAGAAAACAATGCTTAGATAAAAGTTCAAAGTTTAGTAATGGGAGGTAGTTACGTCATTTTTGAGTATGAAACGTACACAAAAGTGGCGTCATGCGATATTTCAAATCAATATATCTTCGAACGTTTTTGTTTTCGTAAGGAAATAAAAAATACGTGTCTAATGTCTTTAAATAATCTACCAGACGGAATTTAAAATAAAAATTACTCACCTACCCCATTATGACATTTCTTGCCAAAGATTATTAAAATGTAGATACGTACATATTACAGCCATATGACTTTAGATAGTACTCAACTCAAATTTACAACTCAATTATAATTGGCTAGATACCTAGGTTTAAAATAAATTGTTTTAACTTTTCAATGCAATAAATAATTAAAAAATATCATACTCTCATCCATTCCTTAGAACTGTCTAAGGAATGGATGAGAGTATGATATTTTATTACCTACGAAATTAAGTACCTATGCTATTTGACACAAATCATAGAAAAGTATCGTTTTTGACATTTCAATAAAAGTATTGAATTTGACTACCGTATTATGTTTGTCGTCGTCATTGTATTACACAACTCATAGACAGTAACAAAAATGTTTACAAACTTTTTAATTTTGTTGTGGTCATCAAAACCACAGATTATGTAATACATAGACTGTCTATATTCGCGAAAGACACATCGGGCGTCGGGGATCGCGGGACGATCTCCGGCCACCGTAAGCGCGGGCCTGCAGACGGCGAGCATGGTTGGCTCCCCGTCCGACCAGAAACAGACACGAGCGTACGGTGCGTCGCGTTCCGCGCGCGCCTCAAAGAGCCATCAGACCACCACAGATGGGGCCCAACAGGGCCGAAGCCGATTCGGAGTCGCGAAGAACCTAACGGGTGACCGGGGCTCCGGCTCGACGTGCAGGAGAAGGAACAGGGTGGTTTTAAGTCAGCCTCACCCAGGCGGGATCAGTCATTCGATGATTTTCCCCACTTAACTCGTTGAGTACCGTCATTATAGACACAATTAAAGAACAATAGGTTGCGGTCACCGGTGACCGCTCGGTGTTTGACAGTTTTAAAAAAAAGACTGTCTATATAGATTAGCTGTCTGGTGACAGTAGATTAGAATCACATAGTACACAATCAATTACAGTCCACTATTTGACTATGGTCCTCCTTTATATAAAAGACTTTTAGTTATAACCCTCCTCCCCAATCTCCCCAATTCCTGAATCCCCAAAGATCCTCAAACTCCTAATCCCCAAAAGGCCTATAACGCACTTGTAACGCCTCTGGTGTTCCAGGTGTCTATGGGCGATGCCGATTGCTTGCCACCAGGTGATCCGTTTGGTCGTTTACCGGATTATGACATAAAAAAAAACTAGCTAAGCCCGCGACTTCGTCCACATGGAATAGTGATTCACAGCTCCTCTCCCGTAGTTAATGGCATGATAGTAGCCTATATGTTATCACGACCTGGTAGTATACCCGGTATATGGCAATAGGCTCACCCCCTGTTACATGGGACTCATAACAAAAATGGTGAAAAGTGGGTGTTACATTGTACAGTGGCATTAAGTGCCGTAATGTGCACCTCTGTCTACCCCTATGGGCTAAAAAGGCGTGATTTTATGTTATGTAATGTCACCCGCGATTAAATAACAAACATCCAAAATCCAAACTTACATATTTATAACGTAAGTAGGATTTATCTCTAATATATTGTTTGTAGCTAAACGAGCGGCCATATTGTCATGATCCTTTGTTAAATTTCATAATCCTTTCAGTCAATTCATTTGAAGCCTCTCGTGAAGGTTTCAGATTATCCCTTTTAATATTCATGTTCATTTTTCAGCACTCATGTTCATTTCGGTTTTCAGTGAATATTTCTGTCTATCGTTTAATGAAATGGCTCATTTTTGAAGTGATGTTAATATGGTTTGTTTGTCGCTTCGCCCAAAATGTCTATTATTTTACTTTTTCTTTATTAGATAGGCCGGTCAACCAGCAGACGAATCACCTGCAATAATTCACCGACCGAAGTGGCAGCTATAGTTTTCTTTTCTTCTTCTCTTATAATATCTTCTGATTCACTTCGTTGCGGGAACCAAGTCACACTTATTTATGTCCCTGGGACGCCCTGGACTTCAGTGTTCCGGTGTTTTTTATGGTTGTATCTACTGTTGATCCTGGCTTACAGGAGTTGCAGCGGTTTTGGGAGGTTGTGGCGGGCTTGTCCCATTAAATAGACGAATCACCTGCTGGTAAGCAATCAGCGCCGCATATGGACACCCGGAACACCAGAAGTGTTACAAGTGCGTTACCAGCCTTTTTGCGGATTAGGAATTTGAGAAATTGGAGAGGTAATAACTAATAATTGAGGCTCCAGTAACCGGTAATTTTGTTATAAGGACTTTTTTGTAATAGTATGATGTTCCAAATTGCCTGTTGTGATCTGATAGTTCTTCCTCTATTACGAAGAACTCAAAATCGGCGAAGACTGGAATTATGCACCTAGATACTGCAACCGCTACCTACCTTACTTATGCTTAGAGTATCAATTGATACTTATATGCCCATTTCACCAACCTCTCGTAAGTTTTTTAAGGAACCCCTAAGCTATGATAGATAACACTTCACACCATTTTTGTTTTACCAATGTATAAGTCTATTCTTTTTCAGTTTAGTCAGTTCCTTCAGTATCTAAGTAAGACCTAACAGTACAAGTAAGGAGTTAGTTTAGGTACTACGTTACGCTAAGTGACAGTTTAGGAATGATTAATGAAAACGGTCATAAGTTCTTGTGCATGTAATTGTGCTTACCATTTTGGAGTATACAGAAGTGTTGTTATAATCCAAAATACGCATGAACTTGTATCGAAAATGTATTTTCTAGTTATAGAAGTTTTGTCATAAATGTCAACTTTACTTAACTTCACGGAGGGTATTCCTTGTTAGGCGATTGTAGTGCTAATTTATTATGTCCTATTCTAGTTGGGCACTTGATGTCAAACTTGTCGAATCTGTAAGTCCAAAGGTCTAAACATAGCAATCGTAACACGTGTAAGAATTATATCAACTATATTATAAATTTATGATTATTTACAATGGCCAGCTGATCAACCTCCTCCAATCTGTTAATTCTATTCATTGGGTTTTTGACTTTATCTCACCCGTTTCCCGTTGTCACGCCATAACTTGAGAATGGCTGGACCGATTTGGCTGATTTTTTTTTTGTTGTATTTGTTATTATAAGGATAAGGTTTTTATGACTTAAAAATCCTGAAAATCCTACGGGAACGGGAGAAAACGCCATTGCGCGTACGAAGTCGCGGGCAGAACCTTGTGTCAATTGGGTAGATGCCTAATTTTTATTTTAATGTCCGTCTGGTAGATTATTTTAAATAATTAGACACGCATTTTTTTTTTCTTACAGAAACGAATACTTTCGACGATATATTGATTTGAAATGTCGCGTGACGTCACTTCTATGTACATTTTATACGTAGAAATGACGTTTTAACCCCCACTCTTAAACTTTGATTCGTTTTATCTAAGTATTGTTTTATTATACGACAAAATAAAAAAATACGTGTCTAACATTTTTTCATTACCTAACTTACGGACTAATTAGATTTTTAATTTTCATACCCTGTCACGAAGCATGGCTCTCCCACACTTAAAATTAGAGTGTGTAACAGTACCTTATGCACTCAAATCTTTCTTCCCTCATATCACACAAACAAAACACGCATTCACTTAAGTTTTATCATTCAAACAAATGTGATAATTACCACCAAGCTCAAAATGAACTGTGACAATAGTAATTAAAGTTCAATTTGCAGCAACAATGTACTAATTGCTGGCGCCATTGTGACGGCGTCGAAGCTTCAAATGGCTTGGAAAAGTCGAGCTTGTAACGATGGAGATAAAGTATAGATTCATGTAGCATATAATTGTCCCTGTGTATCGTAGTGGTAGGCAGACGTATGCCCGCTATGTAATGTATACGATATCTACATTTTATGGTTAGTTTTTTTTTTAATAATACGTTTCTCCACACTAGGATTATCTCCTGTGTCGTGTGTACGTTTACAAACATACAAGTTCACATGCACATGACACCCAGACCCGGAACAACAATTTGTGGATCACACAAATAGTTGCTCCGTGCGGGAATCGAACCCACGACAGGATTGATTCCTGCGGCAGCCGGTTGCCCAGCCACCGCACCAACTGTGCCACATACTTACTAAAGTATCCGGGTATCCCATACTAGAGGTATTATTTTTATTTCAAAATATTATAACTGTTATATATATTTCCAAATATATACGTACATGATACTTTTTAAAGTCTAGAACACCCAATACCTAGTGGTTAACAAATACACTGTCATTCTAGACACCAGGCAGATAAAAAGAAAAACAAAACCTACCTACAAATGCTGAACACCTACAATTCTTTTCATCTATCAATGTGAAAACAAAAGAAAAAAATACCAGATGTGACTTCAAAAACATCATAAAACAAAACAGAATAGGATCAATCGAACTAAACATATATTTTATCTTCAACAACAACATAAAAATCTTGAGGTTCATTGCCACTCCGTGTATTTCACGAAACAATGCGAGACCGTACGTCACACTCGAAAATATTTAACCTCCATTACTGACATACACTATAAAAGTATTTTACACATACAAATAAGTAAAAACTACACTCGATCCAAATAAGTGATATATGTATAGCAAACGATCTTATAAATCGCCTAGTGTACTGTTGGGTGCGCAGGAGTTGATCAAAATACGTGTCTATTACAGTCGCGCGCGCGGCCCTAACGAAAACAGACGTGCCCATTCATATTATTGTTAAATTCTAAATTTATCCGTTGCAATACATCGCAGTTACATGTATAGAAAATTAATTTTGCGCTTTGTGACGTACGACCAAAGAAATCACGTGAAAATGTCCTTCAAAAAATAATATATTACAGTGTTTCAGTGTTGTGTGGTAGAATATTTGTTTACACACAGAGTGTTTGATAAAATAGTTCATTTAATCTAAATATAATTGGATCAGACATTGACGGTGTCGATAGAGTGAAACAAGACTGTGTTGGAAATAATTTTAAAAGTATGGCTTCAACACCGGACTCTCCGACTCCTACTGACACTCCTGAAGATACTCCCTCTCCTTCACCAGCTCCCCAACATGTGAACAAGTTTAACTGGCTTAAAAAGGCTCATGCTGCAAGGAATAATCCTTTCGTGAAGGCAAGGCCGTCTCTCACCAGGGAGAGTTCCACAGCTGAACTGTTTTCCAGAGAGAATTCCAGTCCAGATTTGTTCCAGAGCTCCAGATTAAATCTGTTTGATACAGCACCTAAACCTGAAGCCAACTCCAATGGATTTAACAAGGTAAATCCTAAAATTCTTTTTTGAACATTCATCGTGTTGAATGTGGTCGGAAAGTCACGACTTTGTACTTTCCTATATCGATGTTGACGGAGAAAAACCATATGACATTGTATTCTAGATGGCAACTGGTACATTGTATTTAAATGTGGGTTTATTTAAAAGGATAACTGTGTCGTTAAGATTTATTTAGAAAAACGTTAAAGTGACTTTGTTGGCTAAAGTTAAGGATTTTGTAAAAAAACCATATCAGAAGCTACATAAACATCGTTTGTGTCCTTTGTGGACGAGCCGCCTAGACTGAACCATCAGGCATTAACTTTTGACTGCATTTTGTTACTACAGATAGAAAGAAATAGTAAAATAGACCCTATAAACAATTGAGATGACGACAGGGTATGAAAGTTAAGAATCTAATTAGTCCGTAAGTTAGCGAATATAAAAAATAAAATAAAACGTCATTTCTACGTATAAAATGTACAAAGAAGTGACGTCACGCGACATTTCAAATCAATATATCGTCGAAGGTATTCGTTTTTGTGGGAAAATAAAAATAAGTGTCTAATGATTTAAAACAATCTACTATCTAATAAAAATCAGGGATCTACCCTATTATATATGCCCTTTTCCAGATCAAAATCTAATTCAATTTGTGTAGAAAAGTGCATAGCTCAATTTTCTATGCATTTTATGATAACGGAGCATGCATAAAGAGATTTGTGACTGTACAAGCAGCAAATGAGCTATGAACACAGTAACACATATAGGATATTCCATAATATTTCAAAATAGGAGAAACGTAATATACAGTGTGGGAGAGCCATGCTTCGGCACGAATGGGCCGGCTCGACCGGAGTGATACCACGGTCTTACAGAAAACCGACGTGAAGCAACGCTTGCGTTGTGTTTCGTTGTGTGAGTGAGGTTACCAGAGGACCAATTACCCTCCCCTTCCCCAATCTCCCCAATTCCTGAATCCCCAACGATACTCAAACTCCTAATCCTCAAAAGGCCGGTAACACACTTGTAACGCCTCTGGTGTTCCAGGTGTCCATGGGCGACCCCGATTGCTTACCGCAAGCTTGTATACCGGCTTATGCCATAAAAAAAAACGTGATGTATTAAACTATATGTTGTGATATACAAAAATAAACAGAAATTGTCTAATTACTAGGTTATTATTGTTTTACATCGTAGCATAGTTGAACTGCCTAACGACCATTGTCATTCACGAATAAATAAAAGAAAGTAATTTGAAATCTATTGAATCTATTAAATATCGAACAAACTATTCATAAACAAAATAGCAGTGTGATTAACCATAATATGTGTGTCAACAATTAAAACTAAAATGGTAATGTTTTATAATAACTATCGTGTGACGTACTAAATTAAATAAAAATCGCGGGTTACTCACGTGAATATACTGAGAAAAGCTCTACTAGTTTCGAACCTTCGAACCACAGAGGGGTCAAAACTTCAATAGGTGCATCATTTTTGGTGAAAAACTGAGCTAGAAAATGGAAATTTGTCAGAATGCAGTTACAATAGGTGTTTTATGTTATGTTATGCTAAGTTAATCTTTTCTCTTCACGCTCCAACCTCAATAACATCTCTGCAAGAGCACGCATCGGACACATACTATATTCGGAGCCGCGGAGGACTTAACGGGTTGCTGGGGCTCCGGTTCCAAGTGCAGGAGTAGGAACGGGGTGGTTTTTAGTCAGTAAGAGTCTGACACTCCCTCCTCACCCAGGCCGGAGAAGTCATTCGATGATTAATATTAACACATTATATTATTATTAGTTACGTTGCGTTCTGAAGATGTAATATAAAATAGGAGTATGTATCTACATAGATTAACTGATAATAGCATCAAGAATCTTATACCTAGGTATTATGTAAACATCAATTGTTTACATGTTCTTTAGGTAATCTAGATAATATCCCCCATCTTTGATCTAGTTACAGAGTTAGAGGCCGCCTAGTTTTTCGTATCGAGCAAAGTGTTATTTGATTTTTTTAATGTAAAATTCTTAATGCATAGTATAGAGTTGTAATATTTGGGTAGTGTAGGTTTTGTAGAAGACTTGATAGATTAAGTCTCTTGTTTGTTGTGCAGTAGATGTTTTTTTGGGATTGATGATGACGAAATATGGAGGAACTTGCGTTACATGACTGTAACATGACGGCGGAAAGGCTGACAAAAAGAAATTATTTTAACATTTTTTTTTGTTTTCGTTTTATTCATGCAACATCAGCCTTGCTCAATTGATTACAAGTCTATATATGTATATAAAAGAACCATTTAATTCCTTACTTTATGAATATAAAACCTGTTTTTACCATCACCTGTCGACGTATTTTGGAAGCGAAAAAAATACTTGTAGAAATTACAACAGTCTGTGTGATACCACAGTCACAGAAAACGAACGTGAAGCAACGCTTGCGTTGTTTCACGTCGTGTGAGTGAGGTTACCGGAGGCCCAATTACCCCCCTCCCTAGTCCCCGTCTCCCGAATCTCCGAATCCTCCACAATCCTCAAATTCTCAATTCCCAAAAGGCCGGTAACGCACTTGTAACGCCTTGGTGTTTCGAGTGTCTATGGGCGGCGCCGATTGCTTACCATCAGGTGATCCGTCTGTTCGTTTACCGGCTTATGCTATAAAAAAAGTCTTGAAAGACTTGAATAAAGCTATAATTTACTTCTCATGAATTACAATCCTGAATTTACCTATTTATAATTCCCATTCAACATAACATTACACAGAAAATCTGTTTCCTAGCTAAGCTACTAGGTGATCTGCTGACCTACTAGCACACAAGATGGGGTGAATATAAATAAAACCACCACTGTGTACTGTTCTATGCTGGTATATATATTTGTACTTGTACTTTGAACTTTAAACTTTGAACTACTTGGTCTTACAAATCAATTTTACCTTATAGTTTCATTGGTAACGAAACCATAGCTCGATTTTAATTGCGGCAACGCCATCTATCGAGCCATGAGACAACTTTTGAATAATAATATTTATTTTGACTTTAACAATAAGTTTGGTCTTGAACATACCGCCCACCAAGGACATTTAGTGGAGGAATGTCCTTCTTAACATTTGTCCTTAAACTAAATATAACTAAAAAATATGAAAATAGGTTTTTGCACAGTAACATTTTGCACAGGTTTAACAAAAATACAATTCATTAACTGGTAACATTACAACTTTTTCTTAACATTAAATAAACCTTGGAAACTTAATAGTATCTAAACATAAATAGAACTTGTAGACAAAGTGAGAAAAACATTCAACAAAACTATATTAAATAAACCTTACAACTAAACAAAAATGTTTATCACGCATAACAAGTTGAGATGATACAAAGCATGTAGTTATTAAAGTACTATTTATCTGCTACTGGCAAAATACACAGTTTGTTAGTTGGCCTCTTAATAATGCTTGTTTTGGTTTTTAATGTGACAACCCGAGTGACTTTATCATCCCCTGGATGTTTTTCGACTACACGTCCTAACATCCAACGACTTGGAGGTAGATCGTCCTCCTTAATTAGAACGACGTCTCCAATGTTTGGTTCAGGAACAATGAAAGACCATTTATATCTGTTCATTAGATTCGTAAGGTATTCATTGGACCATCGCTTCCAAAAGGATTGCAGCATTCGCTGCACGAATTGCCACCTTGTTAGAGAACCTACTGAGACATTCTCGTAATTGTAATCCGGTACAGAAACAAGCGGTTCTCCGATTAAAAAATGTCCCGGAGTCAAAGGCATAGATTCTCCTGGATCGTCTAAATGAATAACACTAATAGGTCGTGAATTCAAGCAAGCCTCGACCTGAGTAAGGAATGTAGTGAGCTCTTCATATGTGAGAGTAGACTCGCCTATTACGCGCTTAATATGGTATTTTGTGGACTTCACCCCCGCTTCCCATAGACCGCCAAAATTGGGTGCATGGGGGGGAATGAAGTGCCATTCAGTGCCATTTGCTTCTAAATTTTCTGCTATGGATGACTGCAAAGTTGAAATTTGCTGAAGTTCCCTAGAAGCACCAACAAAAGTGGTACCATTGTCGCTCCACAACTTTGAACAGTGGCCTCGTCGAGACACAAATCGTCTAAAGGCAGCTAAGAATGCCTGTGTTGTCATGTCACTGACTACTTCGAGATGAAGAGCGCGTGTAGTCATACACACAAACAAACATATGTAGCCTTTGTACGCTTTGTGTCCCCTACCTTTAGTGGTTCTAATGTTTATTGGACCTGCGTAATCAACACCGCTGTGCAGGAACGGCCTTGCAGGAGCATCGAATCGATGGAAGCGACCCCATCATTTGATTGCGAATAGTGGCTCTTTGTTTCGCACAAATGATGCACTTGCGAACGTATAGCTTCACCAGTTCTCTTACACCAATGATCCAATAAGCGTTCGCAAATAATTAATCATTAATTGTGGACCTCCATGTAGAGTTTTACTATGAGCGTCCGCAATTATGAGTAGGGTAAAGTGTGACTTCTTGGGCAAGATTATGGGGTGCTTTATTAGTTCATCTAGTGGAGCCTTATCTATTCGTCCCTGAGCTTTCATAATGCCTTTGTCATCAAGGTAAGGACATAAGGATTTGAGTGTACTATTTTTCAAAGGTAAGTCTGATTTATCATATAATTGTTTGTACTCTGTGGAAAACTCTTTCTTTTGTACTATCTTTATACAACATTCTAATGCTTCATGTATCTCTTTCTTTTGCAGGTAAAGTTTGCTTCTGGCATCTCTGTTTAGGAATCGACGACAATATGCAACAACCTTTAATAACTTTGACAATGAAGAAAATCTCTCAAGTAAGTCAAAATCATTTGATATAATAACTCCTACATGAGTTTTAATCGACTGTTCTAAATTGATCTCTAACTCTTTTGGTCTAAAATAACTAATTTCCGTTTCTTTCAGAAACTGTGGTCCTGAAAACCACATTGTATTTTGCCTAAACAAACTTGGTGACAACCCTCGAGAGGCAACATCCGCTGGATTATCTTTAGTCGACACGTGGAACCATTGCGAAGCTGTCATTGTGGTTAAGATTTCGGATGTCCTATTGGCGACAAAGGTTTTCCATTTACTGGGGTGGCTGTTGATCCAGGCTAACACCACAGTAGAGTCTGTCCACGCTTTAATCTTATCTTTGGGTATATTCAACACCTCAGCAGTTTCCATCAATAGTTGTGACAGGAGAACTGCCCCACACAGCTCTAAGCGAGGAATGCTAACTTGTTTTATTGGTGCCACGCGAGTCTTTGCAACCACCAATGACACTTTGACCTCTCCTACGTTTTTAGTTAGTCGCATGTATACTACAGCGGAATATGCTACCTTCGACGCGTCACAAAATCCATGGAGCTCTACGTCGGTTTCTATGGTTTTCCCCAGCCAACGAGGTATATTAACTTCGGTAAGTAATGTTAGCTGTTCCCGATAAGTACGCCATTCTTCCGTTAATTGTTCAGTAAGTGGTTCATCCCAACCGAGACCCGCGAGCCATAATTTCTGTATAAAGATTTTGGCTACAACTATTGTGGGCGCTAGCCAACCCAATGGGTCGAATAATCTAGCTATATCAGAGATTACAGTTCTTTTTGTTGCAGGTGTATTCTGAAGCGGCGGGAGATGAACGGTGTACCGGAAGGAGTCATCATTACGATCCCAGGTAAGTCCCAAGATCTTCATAGTATTATCTAATTTCATTTCTAATTCCTTTTGATCTCTATCTTTAGCTTTACTCTCATTTTCTTCGTTGTTCTCTACTTTATGCTCTATTGTATTAATTTGATCTAATAACTCTTTATTGTTAGTATTCCACTTTTGAAGTTCAAAACCTCCTTTGGCTAAAAGTTCTTTCATTTGCTTGTAGATTTTGATGCCGGTAGTGACGTCATCGCATCCGGTCATTAAATCGTCCATATAGTAGCATCTTAGTACCTTTTCAGTCACGAGAGGATATTCGTCGCCTTCGTCGTAAGCAATTTGATGGAGAGTTCTAACCGCCAGGTAAGGTGCCGACGCCGTTCCAAAAGTAACTGTTAGGAGTTCATAGTCTTTGATCGACTCGTTAGGACTGCTCCGCCAGAGTATCCTTTGAAACATAGCATCCTCATCAGCTACCCTAATTTGGCGATACATCTTAATTATATCT